AACTGCCAACAACAGAGTTCGATTCACACTGAAATATTTATCTACAACATTGGTCATCTCTGTACCAATATTAAAGCGCGTCTAACATGGTTAAAATAAACGAAGATAACTATATCTTTACTATTCAATTGATCAAATATTTTTCTCTTCTCTACCATAAATTTTAGTTGTATTTAAATTTAAGTCAACTTCCATAATTCTATTTAATTTATAGAAATTTCACAAATAATATATAAAAGTATTGTGAAGTGTATGCGAAGGGATATATTTTTAATTTTGGAACCCTCGTAATTTAATATCATTATATAAAATACAGTTGTCGTTTAAATGGTCGATTTAACGCTGAAGAAATTTAACAGATGTCTTTTTCTCATAGAATAACATTTGTTAGAAAAACTACAAAGCTCGCGCAGGTGCAGTCGCCACACTTTACGATGCATATTCACGTGTTCTAAAACATGTCGTTATAAGTTACATTTGACCTTCCATAATTACAAGCGTTTTAAAAATTATCATATCAAATAGATAGATTAATGGTTTTCTGTAAAGGAATCATATTTTAACAAAAATATAAAATTTATTATATGTTATTAACAATATGACTGATAATGAGTATGAAATAAAAAGTTTCTCTAATTTGATGTATGTAATGGAACTGCACATCAATCATGCATCTCTTTTGGTCTGGTAAATATTTGTCTGGTAGTTTTAATTTAACATAATAAGTGTTTTTCTTTTAACAACAATTGAGTTTTGACTTTGAGAATAATAACCAATAAAATTTAAAATAAGTTAGTGAAAAACAACATTAGATATATTAATATTATATAAAATATATAAAAATAATATATAAAATAAAATATTAAAATATTAAAATTAAAAGCATTTTTTTACTTTTTATATCAAGTTTTTTTCAATTTATTATAAAATAAAAGAAATGAAATTAGAAGAGATTTTTAATCATTTAATTAATTTGTTTTAATAAATTCTGATTTGTTTTGTTAGTCAACAATGTGAGATATATAGTCATAGAGTATTAATTTCGGAATATTTTTTTCTGATAATTAAAAGATAATTTTCTGATTAATTAAAAGGTTATTTTATAAATTTAATAAATTATTATTTATATTACACAAAAATGATATTATATTACATAAAATTTTTAGATTTTCTTTATTAATTACGTTTGCGAGGTACAAAACAGAATCAAATAAATTGCATCAATTGTCACTGAAAATTAGAAAAAAAAAAAACTGTGTTGTATTACGGTATAAAGTTAAGATATAAATAGTCTTTACTTTAAAATTAAGATTAAAAACATGTCAAAGAAGAAAAATAATATAACATCACATGCGGTTTATTTTACAATTAGCTGTATAATATTATTACGATAAATGGACGATGTTCCGGAATAATATATTAGGACATAAAACATTTCCTTGTGGAGATAGTATTGTAGCTTTGTTTGCTTCAAGGATATTTATAAATATTAACTATTTATAGTTAACTCGCAAAATGAAAAATTATAAACATGTCATAGTTTACATTTGCATTCGATGTTGATGCATCATTTTACATTATTCGAGTTTTTCTCTTCGGTATTCTTGATATTATCATGGGATGACAATTCAGGTATCTACAAAGAAATTAAATATGAGAAAAAAAATTTAATGACAATTCATTTATAAAAATTGTCGTCTGTTCTTACCTGACGAGGTAGATTAGGAAGAACTGTCGGCAATCTATAACTAGGTAAAACATCCGGCATTGGTGGAGGAACCGGTGGTTCACCGTAAGCCTCATGAAGCTCCTCCAATCTTGTACAGAGAGCGTTGCCGCGTTTGCTCGTAGCGTTCATTTTCTTCATAAGCCAATCGGCCTGTTCCTCTAAACGTTTCAATCGATCGGCTCGCATTGCCAAAACTTCCTCTGGAGTTCGAGTTTTAGCCGAGGTAACTTCTTTTTGCGAACTCATCGCGCCTTCCCGTGTTTCCCTTCTGTCATCTTTGAACATTGATGTAGACACAGCGCTAACATCGGCTGTAGGAAATTCTCGGACCGTGTCCAAACTCGAGGAAGAATCCACGGAAATACTGTCAGAATCTGCGACACTGTCTGTTGGTTTGGAAGATCTTTGTTCTCTGCCTTCTATCAATTCTTCTTGATTTGACATCGTTGAGGTAGAAATAGAATTATCCATCGATGAGGAAGCAATAGAATTATCCGTAAAATTTTCTAATTTTGTCATTGCCATACCAAATACTGGAGTAGAAAAACGATTAGATGGACCCACTATCAAGGGATTGCTAAATTGCACGCTTTTTATAGAAGAGGGTGCAGGCGTGGGAAGCGGCCCAATGGAAAAAACAGGTATCGTACTGGGTATATTTGTAACAGTATCGATAGATGTCGATAAGTGAGAATCAGGTAATAACGAAATACTTTCGGATTTTATTGTCTCACCATTGCTGTTATCGTGCTGTCTTGACAAATTTCTGGTTTCAGTTAACGATGACTCAAGCAATTCGTCATTATCCATCGTCGAAGGTAGATCGATACTGGTGGCTATTCGTTTTAGTGTCTTCGTAGATGATAACAAACATTGAGATTCGATGGTTGATATCCAAGTTTGTGGATTATCATTACAAAAATCTATTTTAGAAAGCGTCATCCGATTAAGCATCTCCGTATCATCGCCAGTGTCAAAGGTCGAATTTTCCAAGGGTATTGTTAGGCTCTCTTGTGAAGCTGAAACATTTTCGCCTGATTCTCCATCATCTATTTTTATGAGATTCTGTATAACATTGGTGAGAGCTTGGTCCAAAGGATCTAAAATTTCTTGTGTTCCTTCCGCAATGTCCTGTTAAAAATTTTATTAATCAGTTATCGATATAAAATACATATTTTAAATATAATTCGCTGTAAATTCGTTTACATCAGCTTCTGCCATTTTAACAGATTCTGAATCAGCATGTGTAATTTCTGCCTCGTCTAATTCCGCTTCGGTCTCTGGGGTTAGTGTTCGTTGTTCTAAAATTATCGAAGAACCAGTCTTCGATTCTGATAGCTCGGTATCTGTCGGCTGTTCGGATTCTGTATCCGGCGTCGGCGCTCTAGGGCTCTCCTACATTAATTCGAACAATATTTATTTTAAATAAAAAAAAGATTACAAAAATGTATATAAGCATAATAAAAGCATTAATAGAAACCTTTCGTGCCCGTCTACGCGGTCTGACTCGTCCCTCAATTACTTCTTCTTCTTCGTCGGTATCATCACCTCTCTCATCGCTGAAGCCACTTTCAGCGCTACACGAAATATAATCCAAGTCAAGAATTGCAGAACAATTTTTATATTAAATAATAAAATAAGATTTAAAATAATTTTAAAATTCTTTCTATTTTCTCTATTGTTACAATTTGTAAATATTTGTAAATATTTGTAAATATTATATAGTAAAATATTATTTTTAAAATTTACTTTAAAATTCGATCTTATCATCATCCATTCTTGTTATTTACAAATGTTTCAGTTAGTAAATTTTAAAATAATAATTGTGTGCAGTGAAATAATGAATAAACAACCTGTTAAAAGAATCACGAGCAGCCAAAGCTTTCCGTGCAGCAAACTCGCGACGCAAGTTTCTCCACTCCAGTTCGGTGTTTGTATTCTTTTGTCTGGCCGATTCCCATTTTTCTCTACAGTATTCCAGCTCCTGTTTTAATTCTTGCAACATTTTTCTTTTTTGCTGCAACTCGTATCTTAATATTTCCTCGTGTGTGTGCAACTGTTGATGTTGTGCCTGCATTCGACCGACAATATTCCACGTTTTGGTCAACTCGACCGACACCATGGAAAGTCTCTTCTCCTAAATATTAAAAAGTTAATTATAATTTTTCATTCTATTTATAAAAGTAATTTTCTATTCTATTTATAAAAGTTTAGAGAGAGACAAATTACCTGCTCGCTCAATTTACTCTCTAAATGAGTGTTCAGCTGTTTCATACGGTTCATCTCCTTTTCCAAATGCTTCTTTTCCAAAATTAATTCTTTTAAACGAATATATGTTTTGCTCACGGATATCACTAATCTTGGGCCAGCTGGAGTATCCACAGACTTGTAACAGCTGTTCGGATCTGAACAAGACGCAACGGAAACGCTCGGAGAAGTCACTGCATGGCAACTAAGTAGTTCCAATAAGACGCGCCACACCTACAACGCAATTTCACAATTACTTGAACGAAGTCGTATTAAACTCTTTAAACATACATAACTATATACAGTAGTATGCAATTTTTAGAAAATTACTGTAACGCAATATTAAAATAAATTTTTATAAGTAATATGAATTAAAATTATATTAAAAATTTATATGTTATATTTTATGTGTATTGACCTTAGGTAAGTTATGGGCGATGTCTTCTTCTTGTAAATCATCTTCCTTTCTATCAATTTCGCCAACATTATCTACATTGTTTTCTTCATTTGTGTGTTTCTGGGCCGCTTTGCCACCCTCGACTTGTTCAATTAGATCTAGAAGAAGTTTAGGAAGAGCTGCTGCTTCTGTGCTTTCTTCTCTGGCTATGTCACTTATCAGATCATGATTCTCCTATAATGTTAAAATTAAATATTATTAACTATTATTTTCTATCTATTTCTTTTATTCTTATACTTTTTTAATTCTAATTATAAATAATAAATCAGTCATCTGCAATCATGTAATACCTGTAATAATTGAGTCAACCGATCAAGATCCATGTCTGCAGAAGAAGCTCCAAGTAGCATCTGTGTGAATAATCCATTAATGAGAGACATTTGATTTTGAAGATCTCTGCAATCAGCCTTGGTTAGTCCTAATTGTGATTCCAAGTTTGTGATTTCCGAATCTTGAACATCGACCTAACATGTAACATATGTAACATAAAACATAAGACTGTCAAACAATGAATAAAATCTCAAAATCGAAAAATAAAAAATGCATAAAATGCATAAACGTATAAAATCGAACACATTGATACCTTTTCTTCGGCTTTTTTGAGTTCCTCTTCCAAATTCTCCGATTTTTTTAGAGCGTATTCAAGTTTTTGCTTCACGTCTATCAGTTCCTTGATCGCAGAATCTTTTATCTCAGTTAAAACTCTCAACCTCTCATTGTAAAGACTTTTCAACGCATTTATATTCTCCAATTGTCGATTACATTCCGCTCCTACGTCATCTTGAACTTCCAGGAAACTCCTGTCACCCAATCTGACCAGCAGTTGAGCTAGATAATTCTTCAACTCATTAGTCTGACGTTCACGCGCAATAAGAGATACGCGTGTCTTGCTGGTCGCTTCCGTCAAACACTGAATGCGATGTCGATGTCGCTCTGAATCGGTTTCCAGGTGGTAACGAAGGTCATCTACCTTCTCAATTTGGTGTCGAACGTCATTCCTTAACTCGTCGGATACCTGTAACAAACTCGTATACAGATTTTTTGTAAAGCGAATAAAACATATGTGTGTGATAAATCATACCTTTAGAATACGCGTTAATTGTTGCGCTTCCGCGCGTTTCAACGCTTTTTCGTTTTCGTCTTTATTTGTCTCATGTTCTTTTATCGTAGCTTCCACTGAAACGTCATTTACAAAATCTTGCGGATTCTTATGAGTGGAACGTAACAAAGCCAACATGTTCGACGTTTCGGAATGAGCTTCCTTCTCGGCGTTCAATTCTTTCCTAAGTCTTTCCATTTCAGACGAGACTGCTGCGATAGCTCTATGTCTAGCTTCCCTCTTCAGGGTTAATTCTTTCCTAAATTCGTCTATACTGACGGCACGATTTAAATTCGATGCACCTTCCGGTGTATCTTCATCTATCGAGTCGACTGCATCTATGAGATAAATATTCAATATTTTTATTTTGTAACTTAAAAAAAATTTACTTATATAATTCTACTAAAATTAATAAAATAAAAACTAGTAGACAATATATAATATACCGATATTTTCTTTTGAAGCAATGTCATTTTTCCTTCTTTCAGTCTTCATAGTCTCCTTCAGTCTTTGAATCTCCTGCAAAGCATCTTCAAGAGCCTTAATTTGTTTATTTTTATCCGAAACTTCTTTAGCTAATTGTGTCTGTAATTCTGATGTCTTTTGGTTTTCCACATTCTTGATTTGTTCAGCCTCGAGCAATGATTTTTGCAAATTTTGTTCCAAAACTAGTATTCTCGCATCGGCAGTGTCCTTTTCCGACTGAAAGACATCAATCTCTTTCAGCAATCTTTCGATTTCTTCCTTGGCGTGATTTAAGCGCTTCTTTAATTCTTCGTATTGCTGCGTGCGTTCGTGCAAATTAGCTTCTACCACTATATGTTGCGTTTTTAGTTTCTAAATAAAAAAAAAATCTTTATTATAAAGCATTTTAATGTAATATTAGCATTAAATTATATGTTATAAGAAAATCGTTTTTCGTGCAAAATTATTAACTCTTAATTATTAACTCCAAAACTTTAAAAAAAGAAATCTCAGAATATCGTACCTCGTAATCTACATTTAATTTTTCCATTAAATTTTTCTGATCCGTCAAATCATACAAAAGTCTTTCGTTCGCATTCTGATATTCTAATTGAATAGTTTTTAATCTCTCAATTTCCTCTGATAATTTGAATACTTCTTCGTTCACCGAATTTCTCGTTGACGGTTCTTGCTCATCATCTCTCAATCTTATGCGTCTTATGCGCACTTTAGCTAAATCTACGTTCTTTGTGGAACATGAGTTTTCGTCTATTCTAGGAATATTTGTCTCGAAATCATCGGAATGAGCGCTGTAGTAGCTATGAATGTCCGTTCCTATCCTCGTCGCGCCTCGATTCTCGCCACAATCGTCAGTCCGTTGTTCCGACGATTCACAACACAATTCCATAGATTTTGAATCAAATTTCTCATTGTTCGTATCTTGAATCTTCAGCAAATTCTCCGTTCTAGAACGCAATTTGTTATCTTCTTGCAAACATTGTTTGCAATGTCCAAGAGAACTTGTTGCCAATAATCTTTCAAGTCTAACAAGGCGTTGCTCCAATCTTCGTGTTTCTTCTCTTTGATTTTTATGAGTATTCTGCAATCCTTTCTGAGGAACGTTCTCGCATATCTCCAAATTCTCTGTCGAAATCTTTTGCTTCCGATTCGCTCTATCTTTCGACAGCTCCAAGTATAACGCCTCCATACGTGCCAGCGTTGCGTTTTGCGCGCTGGCTAATTGATGATTGGCCATGGCCAGCTGCGAGATAATTCGCGAAAGCTCCATTTCGTTATTCTGTTGACACATCGAGGGATCGTGACCATCGGCGGACTGCCAACCTGTCATTTGTGCTGTACACGTTAACTGCAATATAAATAAACTGACCGTACAATTTCAGGCTATATATTTTTTTAATGTAAAACTATTAATATATTAATTATCGCGTTAATTTTCGCGAAATATCACTTCTTTTGTAAACCTCGAATGATACCAATCAAATTATCAACGCGTGCAAACGATGAATCACACGATTTCAGACAAAGAAGATGAAAAAAATAAAGATCTTCTTCTTTTCGTTCTTTTTCATAAGTATTTATCTTACCAAAAGTTGATGCGGTTTTAATAGGATTAAAAAGCATTTCACGTAAGCTTACAGTTTTCGGAAGAAAAAGATTTCCACCGGCGCTTTCGAGAGATAATGATCCGCTCTCGATGATTCGCAATGGTATACTGACATAAAACGCAACACTTTCGGGAACCGCAACTGAGAGAACAAGCACGTGATCGCGCTCGATGACTATCGGAGACGGCTTTTCGTGATTGTGAGTCAGCGTGTTCTCCCGAAAACATGGATTGGAGAGAAGCCAGCTTGTCGCGGTTAACAGAGGGACCGGCTTCCGCGGGACGAAACTGCGTGATTTTTGCCCGGAAAGTTGCAGATGCAACTCGACGATGGCAATGCCCGAGTCTAATTTAGCTACATTTGTACATGTATAAACAGACTATCCGCACGATGACTGTCGAGACAAATATCAATATAATTCGTGAACGTGTCTGCTTGCCAGCTTCATCGTTTGTCGATGAAAATGACACGTGAAACATTAAACTAAGAATTTTATAACACGACAAAATCAAGGAACTAACAAAAAGAGGAAAAACGGACGACTTACCAAAGTCTCGCGTTTAGGAGGCAGCATACTCGACGAACTGGGTGTCATTGGCCTTTGATCCCACAATTCGCCAGATTTCAAGGTCACATAGGGATTAGGACCCTATGCATCAAAATATTAAATAAATTTAATCCAAAATTTATGCCTTTTTTTCTCTATCCCTTTATATTTAATTATTTTTGTCTTTTTCTGGTTAAAGACGTACTTGCAATCGTGACTGATCCTCCCCTTTGTAGCTGCCTGTTCCCACATACATTCTTTGTCTTCCATCGTTCGCCGGGCAAGCGTCTTTCGAACACAAAGATGTTTCTGCCTCATATTCACTCGCAGAAATCAAAGCCGGCGGATCACTACTACTACTGGATATTCCCATTATTTAAGCTTTTCACTTATTAGAAGATTATTATCTTATCTTCCGATTATATTTTTTTCCTGTAAATAATTTTACTAAATATCTAACTCTACATGTTATTCAAATAGATGGCTTCTTCTAGCACAAATAATGTAATACATCAAAATATACACATAATTTTATATAATTTTATATAATTAATAATATAATTTTATATAAATCTGTTCAAATTTGGATTCTGAATATATCAAAAACCGATTGTTAAACTGTAATTTAATAAATCAATATATTTTTAAACTATCAAAATTGCATATCGAGATATAAAGTTGCGGCAAAAAAAAATTTGGATTGTGTCAGCTTTTATTTTTAGAAACTAGTTTGATCTAGATTGCATCCCTTTAAAGACTAAGTAGGATAAAAAGCTAGATAAAAATAGAAACACATTCAATTTAGCTCTTTCAAGTGTGAAATAAAGATTAGATAATAAATAATTGTGTAATGGAAACAAATATAATATATTAAGTAATAGTACGCAACACTTATACATAACACTGAAAAATTTGCGTAAATCAACTTTTAATCAATTATATAAAAGCTGGATGTCATTTAACAGCAAAAATTCGGCACTTTTTTTCATAAGACAAAGACACGAGTTTCGGATATATGATTCAAATTTAAATAAAACTCGCTTACCGATAATTAACCAAAAGTCGTGAAAGTCGTGGCTTCGGTTTCTTCGAGGGTCAAACGATGGACGACGATTCTTCGACTACCATCATCGTTCTAGCGGGCACCGACTCGCATCTCCAAAAATATCATTTCGAAAGACCGCCTGCGCAAAGCCGACGACATATCTTCGCATCGAATTCATGCGCAGAAGCGTTGCTTCAGACTTCCGCGCGTATTTCACATCCTAGGAAGTCGTCCATCGACGTTCACGAAACAATAAATTCATGTCGAAAGAGATTTTCTGACGAATATTGCGTGATTTCAATTATAGATTGTTGTAAAAGGTGTAGCACACCAAAGAATTATAATCTTTTAATTTAAAAAATGTAAAAAATATTTTAAAAAGTTTAAAATTTAATTTAAATTGCTCATCAAATTAAATACAAATATTTATTTAATCCAAAAATCTTGTTATTTGTTTCCCAGAAATTAAATGATAGTGTTTCGTTGCAATGTGTATTACCGTCGTCATAAGTTTTACTTTGATACAGTACTCAATTAAGAGAATAAACAACTATTTTAAGACGCTTTCAAGTCTTCAGGCAGTAGATGCACTCGGGAAAATGTAAACGTCCTAACAATAGCTTCGCATGTATTCTATATTTAGGTAGTTTTTCGAACTGTTCGTCATCGCTATCACCGTTCCAAAAGGAAGATCGATTTATCGTCCTACGTTTTTCATTTATTATAACATTGTAACGTTCAGTGCGATAATAAAAAAACACTGAGTTAAATGTATTTCTATTTTTATTTTCTTTTTGTTGTATTTCATTTTCAAAGAAAAGATCAAAATATAATCTAAATCGAACTAGTTTCTAAAAATAAAAATTAAGACAACCACTAAACTTTTTTTTGTAGTGACAAAATAATTCTGTATTAAATTATTTAATCTTCACAATTTAAAGTATATGAAATATATTGCATTATTAAATATATTAACATGTTGCGAAAATAGTAGATAATTTAGAAAATAGATAATTTAGAATTTTTATAACAAAATAAATATAAATATAATGTTTCTTTATATTTCTGATTTTTCAAATAAAAGAATTTTCTTATATTTTCTTATATGTCACAAATAAAGTCTAGAATAAATATTAAATATAGCACAAAGTAATCAGTGGAGGAACGTGCAAGAAAGCATTAAATTTATTTAAAACGATGAAGGTGAACATAGAAATAAATGGCCTTTAACAAATTGATCAACTGCAGGTAAAGTAATGCTCCATCTAATCTATCGAATTCGGGTATGTCGTCCCTGTGGATAAATGATGTCTTCGTTCAGTATTTTGCATTGTTAAAATCTATCGAGAGAAATTTTTGCTGAAACCTTCGGTATTTTGTCGGTAATTATGAATTTTGACGCCAAGTTTCCGAAAAGCGAAAGTATGTCTAGGTAACGCATCTTGTAGAGAAATCGTTAAAAATATTGGGCTGACATCTCCTCATGTTCTTCCCTATTTCGGGGATCACGAATGGGAATCAAATAAAATTATTATTTAGAATAAGAATTCATATTTACATACGTTTAATAACAGACATCGAACGGCCGACGTAAAATTTTCACGAAGAGGTTTAACCGCGAATTATGTATTATCTCGCACCTAGCTGAGCTAGGTACCTCCATGATTATAACATGGCGCTTATAGTGTCGAAGCGCTAACACAAGTGCTATATTACAAATGACATATTTCTTGTCACCACCTAATATTATACTGAAACATTTATAATGTCTAGATACGCCGCGTTCGACCCGTTCTGGAATTGCCTCAACTTCCAGACGCGAAGCATCGGCCTAGCGCTCCGATGTATGGAGGGAGCGTGTCCACGCGCGCGCGCGCGCGCGCGCTTTCCGGTGCCGCACTGCCGCCAGCCGTGTACCGATCGGCTTGGCCTGACAAGGCCGTCACGCGCGTCCGTATCTGTCAGTCAGCGTTCGCGCACGAATGCGACGGTACGGTCGTCGGTCGTCGTGGCGGGTTTTTACTCGGCACCGCGCTCACGGGAGCCCCAGCTCGGGAGAACAGAGCTGACGTTTCTACGTGAAGCGGGAAGGGAAAGTGGTCCCGCTCCTCCATCTCTCTCTCCTTCTCTC